TAATAATAATAATAATAATAATAATAATAATAATAATAATAATAATAATAATAATAATAATAATAATAATAATAATAATAATAATAATAATAATAGTACATTTTTTAATGCTAATAAAAAAAGAAAACAATATATTAAATGTATTTTTTTCAATCAATTACAAATTTTTAATATCGATAAATTTTCTCGTAAAATAATATTTGTTAAAAAAAAAATTATTATTAAATCAATTATTACTAGTAAATTATTCAAATATATAAGTATAATTTAATTAAAAAAATAATTCGAAAAATAAATAAATTAAAAAAAAAAATTTATATTTAAAAATAAAAAATATAAACTTAATAATAAATAAATTAATAAAACAATTAATATATTACGAATTAATATATAATAATTTTAATATTAAAAAAATTTTTAATTTTTAATTAAACGTACTTTTTTAACGATTTATACAGAAAATCTTACAAAATTTAAATTATTGTATTAGATTTTAAACAAATATATTTGGCGTTTTATAAAAAATTATTAAAACAATATTAATTATAAAATTCGAAAATAAAATTCTATTTTATTTTATTAATATTTTTACTAATTAAATAATACTAAATTTATATACAATTTACATTAAAAAAATTATTATTTAAACTAAAAATATATTATTAATTCAAAGATTTCGACGATTAATATATACAAATATAAAAAGTAATTTTTAAAATTATTACATTAATAAAAAAAAGTTTATTTGATTTACTTTAAAATAATAACTTTTGTAGTTTATTTAAAAATTTTATACAAAATAGATCAATAGAAAATTGTTTTTATAATCTTTATATTTATAAACAATTTCTTATGTAAAATCTTTTTTATTAAAATTAAATAACTTTTAAAAATAAATATTATATAAATATAAAATTTTTATTTTGAATTTATTATTATAAAATATAAAAATATTAATTTTGTTTGATTTATGCAAAATAATACTTTTTATGTTTTTATGAAAGTCTTGATACCCCATGAGGGCTTCACAAAATCTATGGGAGATCCGTAAATGGAGGACTAATATATTTTCGCCTTATAGGGGACCCGTGGATAGGGAGGAAATTTTAAAACTCCACCCCATGGGTCCCCCACGAGCAGCCTAGCCCATTTATCGCAAGGAGATCTCCTCTTCTTCCCGACATATGTATCTTCCCATTGCTTCTTCGACTTGTCGTAGTTTTCCGGCCACCACCGCCTCGTATGTCCCTTGAGCCAAATCGCCCAGGTGTCTGGTGCCTCCATCACCTTCTCTTTCTTCGAGAAACTAACTCCGCCTCGAATAACCGGTCAGTCTCATGTGCACCCGCTTTCGATGCTTTCTCAACTAACAGTGGGTCTTGACGACACCTCTTAAGGGGCCTAATACTTGCCTCCACGAACTTATCCTGAAAAAGCCTTGCCGAGCCTCTGTGGTATGCAATTGATCGTGAAGCCTGTCTTGAGGACCTCCACATCGGTGGAGGCATCTTTGGAGATACGTACCATTTGGGTAGGTCTGCGCCAATGGACCGCGAGATGCAGGATACTAAACGGAAATTAGAGCTCGATAGCCCGCTCAACCCTTTACCATACGCCGTTGAAGCTCCCTTCAATCCGTATCGCAGACGGCATGACCGAACCTATATGCCTCTCCGAAACCCGCGTTGATGTTCTGCGTTCTGCGTGAGATATAAAATTGGGCTAGTGGACAAGATAATCGCTTTATCCTCCGGCTAAATGGATTGGCTGCCACCGGAAGGTCTACAATTGCTCGGACTGTCGCCGACATATACAATGGGCAAAAGCGTCTGGGAGTTAGCTTTCTTCTTCTCAAGAGACCCTGGAGCTGTCAGCTATGCCGGCAAATTCATCGCGCCTAGGATCAAAGAGTCTAACACTTTCATTGAAAAGGAGGTATTTGCCCGCAGTTCGGACGTACAGGCGAACTAAGATCAGGGAATAGCTAGAATAAATGAGAGTGGCATGCTATCACATTGGGATTTCTGTCTCAGCCTTGATCCATACATCACTATCGACACCTCACCAACACCAAGCTCTTTCCATCTCAAGATCAAGCCATACAAACAACAACGAAAAGGCAGCCTTCAGAAGCTGGATCCGGTGAACCTCAACCTCGATGACCATACTAAAACGAATGAGTCCACTATCAATGCCATCCTTTGCCATGCCCGAGGCATCCCAGCTACGGTTCTATGCGGCGCATACAAGAATAGGAGTCCCTTTGGTAGATGTACCTGGAAAGTTTGACAACGTGTGTCCAACTAAGGGGTTGGTAGGAGGAGAGTGGGAGCATATGCTGGAATACACGCGAGGTACACTGCATAGCAAACCGTCGCGCCACCTATCGCCTAGGCGGCACTCAACCGTCCACTACATCAATTGTCAATTCGGGAAACTTGGTGTATTGACGAAAGTACTCCAAGTATTCCGGCCACATATTCTCATCAAGAGCAGACAATTCAAGATCTCCATCCTTGCCAGCGCCATATTTAATCTCGAGCGTTCGTTGATTTTGGATCTGCGCCGGCGGAGTCCTCGAGTCGAGGTATAAATTCACGGCAGAGAAAATTCCCCTACGTGTATTATCTTCGAGGGTCACCATCGCTCGTAGGGTCTGTTTTGCCGTCTTGCTCGTGTATAATATGTTCAATACAATTGTGTAGCCCGCCAGTGGTTGACTACTGCCAGTTGTAACCTCTAGGGGTCCTAGAAGCGATGTAGTGGCTATGGACGGTTCTTCAATTTCCTGTGGAAGTGGCGGTTCAATTGCTTCGACGAATGGCTCTCCTGGTGTAAGTGGTGCTTCAATTTCTTTCACAAATAGCTCCTCTGCTGGTGTGGGATCTTCCGAGACAACGGTGTCAACAAGTTCGCGTCCGAGGTCTTCGACGATGGGCTCAAGGACCAATTCCTCAATAACCATAGCTTCTTGGGGGATTGGTTCTGCGTTTTTCGCTTTCTTCTTCTTGCCCTTCTTACTGGAAAAACCCAATCCAAAGTCGTCGGGCTCCGGCTCTGATACTCGGCCTTTTCCCTCTTTTTTCCCTTTCTTTTTCTTATCTTTCTTGGTAAAAGAACCCAATCCAGAGTCGTCGGGCTCTGATACCAGGGCCTTTTCCTCTCTTTTCCCTTTCTTTTTCTTATCTTTCTTAGTAACAGAACCCAATCCAAAGTCATCGACAACCGCCGCGGGCTCCGGCTCCGGCTCCGGCTCCGGTGCCAAGGCTTCTTCCTCGGCCAATCCTTTCTTTCCCTTTTCCCCCTTCTTGTCATTTCTACTTGAGAAAGCACCCCGCCCAAGGTCGTCAAAAACCGCCGCGGGCTCCGGCTTCGGCGCTGGGGCCTCTTCATTCACATCCAAAAATTTCTTCGTTTTGTCGTTCTTTACCTGTCCCAAAGAACCCCATCCACCATCACCCTCAGGAGCTTGTAGTTCTGGCTCGAAAGCCAAACTTCCTTCGAGATTAGGTTCCTTTGGGGTAGACTCAACATCAAGAACATCCTTTGCTCTAAAGTGTTCCTCATAGACAGACTCATGCGCCTCCTCATGGGTGAGTTGGGCGGGCTCCTCAATGATGTTTTCCTTGAGAGTGGGTGTAGCCTCTTCGCACGGCTCGCAAGGAGTCTCCTCGACGATATCTTCCTTAGCGGCGGGTGTGACCTCCTCGGAATACTCACCGCGAGTCTCCCTAACACTTTCTTTGTCTGACAAACTTGATCGCGGAGTAGCAACGAATTCAAACCCCGAATGGTCGGACCGTGTACTGCTGCTGGCACCAGAATGACCTTGCACTCTCGGATGTAGACTCATATTCTGACTGTGCTTCCCCAAACACGGAATACTAATCCCATTTGCGGAGAATCGTTTCGCAATTTCGATTTCCGTCTCTCGAAGTAGGCACAGAATGGCATCGTTGGTAGATGATGTATCCATGGTATGAAGGAATTGAGTCCACGAGGCAGTGAATGTATCAAATCTGATAGCGACTGCTTGGTAACCGGAATCGTGAGAAAGAGTGAGGACTTCGGCGTCTGGTCCATAGAGGAATTTGCAGTTTGCTACAATACTTGATCAGTCTTAGAAGGGCATGAATGAAACCTGCAACTCACCAACCAATTGTGCCCGTCCATCGATAAAAGCCATCTTCGATGGTATATTCACGCCGCGCGATTATTTGATAGCTGGCCTATTTGATGATCGAGTTCTGGACGAACGAAGTCAGATTTGGAAAAGTAATATTAGGGAGAATATGGGAAGCTATGAACTACGCGAAGTAGCTTGTAATGTTTTGACGCGGAGTCGTGATTTGCTAGACATTCAAGATCCCGAGGTGTGGTTGGTATTGGGTATATTCGCTTCCACGTAGAATTGTAGCATTAAGTATGTAGGCGTGTCTGACCAAATCGGGATCGGGATGTAACGGGTTGCGCCCGAGTACAGTACGGAGACTGAGGCTTTTCGGCCCCAGCCAAGGCTCTCGCGATGCGATAGAGGCTGCCACCTCCCCACGTAAGCATGACTCCAAGAAATGTCCACATCCTCTCCACAAACCTTACAAGTCCCTCGTCTGATGTAGGGGGCCGCCTGCAGGAGCATCGGTGAACAGAACTGGTAGTTTTGCTAATCGAACAATTAATTAAATAAAATTATAATATAAACTATTTACCCAAATTATTATATTTCGATTTATATTCAAATTCTCGATATAAATTTCAATTATAGCTATTTTAATAAATATTTTAATATATACATGAAAGCAAAAAAATATATGCGTTCGCCGGGAATCGAACCCGGGGCCCATCGAGCTTGAAGTGCCTTTTACACTTATGGCAACTGTGAAAGTTAGGATATGCTTCGACGTCTTGATTTGATTGGATCATTTACCGATGGATTTTACCACTAAACCACAAACGCGGATTTGTGCGATCCTCTCCACGCACAAGCCAGGACCACTGAGGTCCTATGGCTGAGGGTGGGTCCGGAAGTTCGAGACTGTGATTCATGCCACATAAATGCTTGTTTAAATATATATAGCTATTTGTGAAACCCTGGCTCTGATCTCCCTGATGTGGTTAGTGTTGGAGGGGCGAAGGTTGGCAGGGTTCTGTAAGATGTCGCACAACCACAACAATTCAACTCAAATAAAATAGCTACATATTGTCGATCTTACCTAGAAGATCCTTTTCTCTCTGCAAAAGAAGTTTTTATACGCTGTAGTTATAGAGATATTCTCGATGTTCCTCACTTAGTGGGTGAAAGCCAAGCTGCATCGTGACGGGTAATGACGTTTCAAGCGAGCAGCACAAGACTGAACTCGTGAGCTCCAGTGCCCGAGGGAACTTCCAAACCACAACCTCGCAATGCCATGAAAGAACCAACAAGCAGTCAAATGGCTGCCCTAAACCTCTACCTCGTAACCTTCAACTGCGGTCTCACCTACATCAACATCGACGCTTTCTCCTCCAAACTATTCACCGGCCTCACCTCCCCCTCCCTCCCCGACCTCATAATCCTCTCCCTCCAAGAAATAGCTCCCATACCACACAGCTTGATCGGCGGATCCTTCCTCGTCCCCTACTTCAGCCGCTTCTACCATGCCGTCCAAAAAGGAGCTCGAAAATGGTCCAATGCGACCGACGACCTCCCGATCTACGACCCAGTCGCTGCTCGAAATCTAGGCATGACAGGCCTCATGATATTCGCCAAGGACCCCTCGCGCATAAAAGACATAGAATTCGACGGCGTTGGAGTCGGTCTCGCAGAAATGGGGAATAAAGGCGCTGTAGGATTACGATTCAAATACCACGGTTCAGCGGGGACATTCACAGAACTCACATTTGTAGCTGCACATCTCGCGGCTATGGAATGGGAAGTCAAGCGTCGGAATGAGGATTGGGAAAATATCGTTCGAGGACTGGTATTTTCTTCTACGAGTGGGAAAGCCACGACTTCGTTATCGGCTGAGGAGAAGAGACCGCTGCTTTCGATCTCGGGGAGAGATGCGGGGATTTATAAACCTACGAGCCATCTTTTTGTGGCGGGGGATTTGAATTATCGTACTTCGTCGATTTCGCCGGCCCCGAATGATCATGTCGATACATTTCCGCAACCGCATCATGATAGTTCGTCTCCGAATCATTATTCTGCGCTGTTCGAACACGATCAACTTACACAAGAATTGGCTGCGAAGAGGACACTGCAGGGGTTGAAGGAAGCACCGGTTACATTTCCACCAACGTATAAATACACAAGTAAAGAGCCATTCTTGACGCCGGATGAGGAACTCACGGAATGGAATTGGGCAAAACATCGGTGGCCGAGTTGGTGTGATCGAATCCTCTACTTGCCAATTCCAGCATGGCTTTCACGCAGTTCTCCATCCGCTGAAATAGTGGTCAAGAAATACACCGCTTTACCACTCTTCCCTACCTCTGACCACCGAGCTGTTGCTGCAGAGATCTCAGTTCCGTTGATAGAGATACCTGCTCCAACAGAAGAAGAACTTGAAGAGAAAGCAGGAGATGATCCAAGACTCCATCCACCATTTGAGGTCGACATCGATTGGAAGAGTAAGAGAGATAGAGCTAGGATTTTGGAACTGATTGTGGGGTTTACGTTGTATTTTACGACTACGGCGGAGGGTGGTGGTGTTATATTGGCGATGGCTGTTGGGGCGGTTGGGGCGTATTTTGCTATTAGGGCTATGCTTGAGATGTAAGCTGAATGCTCTGGCATGGGATTATGGATGAATTATGGGCCGTGATATGGAAGCGTGGAGTTCCGGTCTATGAGCATTATGATTTTACGAGCTCTCACAGATCAGACAATGGAATGACAATAATCTAGTACAAATTTAACGTTATGTATTTATCACTGAAACCTCCATCCATCTCCCAAACACCCAAAATGCCCTCAACTCCCTATTTCCACCCCACCTAATGCCATGAACATTCCCATATAGTGCTCTCAGCTCCTAAAATGCTGCATAACATTATGCAACCTATCAATAACAACCGGAAAGATCGCGTTACTACTATCCTCAATCAACGCATCAAAATGCCTAATCGCCTCCTCCTCGCTCATCTCCAAATGAAACCTCTCCTTAACCTTCAACACCACCTTATCCGGCTCCAACTTAATATCCGGGATATTAGCATGAACCATCAAACTAAAAAGATTGAGAATTAGGTTTGATGATTTCCGGAGTGTGGTGTAGGCAGTGAAACAATATTGTTTGAATTGGCGGTATTGCTCAGAGGAGGAACCGCCCATGCCGTCAACCATTTCCTTGCATAGTTTCATGGGGGGGGCGAAGGGTTTGGGGTCTCGACCTAGGATGAATCCGAAGTCGGCGTGGAAAAAGTGTCCGTCGGGGGCAAGGAGGAGGTTGTCGAGATGCCTGTCCCCTACACCAAGCAAGTAGGTGATCACACAATACCCAGCGCAAGATTTGACGAAGATATCAAGCGCTTCTTTCCGTATACCTAGAGGAGCTTTGTCGTCTGGGTTGTTGTACTTGAGATAGGCTAGGACGGTGTTGCCTCTATATTTGTTGACGATGCCTTGCAAAGTCATCGATGGAACGAACTGAGCTGCTCCAGCTGTTGCTCCAGTAGCTAGAATCTTGTATGGTGACAACTTCAGATCCAGATTCTCTTTCTGCAACAACTGGTCCATGAGAGTAATGATCTGAATAATCAACTGGTCCTGCCGCAAATCATCACCAGTCTTGAACAAGATCTGATACTTCTGCCGTGTCAACGTCTTGAACGTAAGCATGATCGGACACAAAGACGACTTGAAAACCGAAGTTTCTGCTGGATCAACACCAACGATCATGATAGAAGGGTCGAGTGGTAGTGGTAGAGGCGGATCAATAGCGATGATTTCGTTCTTCGGATCTGCTAGGAAATGCTTGACCCGCTCGGTCTTCTTGGGTATGGAATCCTTTGACGCCTTGGTGTCCATAGATATCTTGGAAAGGACAGCGATGAGTTCAGCCTGTCGTAACAGCGTTTTCCTAGTTTCGACACCTCCAGGTAGCTTGACGAGCTCCGTCATAAAATCGTATTCGACCTTGGCGAACAGCTTCCGATATTCCACACCTTGATCTGCGCTCTTGTCGTCGCATTCCACCATAAGGTACCAATGGAAATAGTTCACCAGCATGAAATTGTTCGTGGCTCGAGAAATAAGGAATCTCGCAAGCGAAGAATCGTGTGTCGCGTCCTGAACAGAATCCGGTGAGATATGCTCGAATTTGAGCGCCTGCACTAACTGCAGAAGATAGAGCAGTAGTTCGTCATCGTTCGCTTTTCGAAGTCGATCAACAGCATAAGCTCTGACAGCCACATTGTCGAAGGTGGGGCCAAGAAGCTCAAGAGCATCGTCAACATCCACCTCGGTCCACTTCGCCAAGATTTGTACTGCCTGTCTCGATTCACTTTGATCTTGCCAATTCACAGACTTCACAAACTTTGTCAAAGCTCTCTTGTCTCGAGTCAGATGATGTCGGAACTTCCAAACAAGATCCTTCTCTTCGGGAGAAAGTGAATGTGTAGGCGAGTACGCCATGATGCCATTCAGCTCATCTCGAACTTTGGCATTTGGCTTCAAATCCCGATCCAGTACTCCTGTCCTGTGACTTCTCACCAGACGTCGATGCTTGCTTTCAGCAGGGTTATCTCTAGCTCCCACTTCAGGGTCATAGACTCTAACAAGTCGGCCTCCAAATCCATGATCATCTCGGTCTCCGGGACCATTAATCCCTGGTCCATAATGAACTTCCGGTGGTGGCTTCAAAATGATGTTCGACTGCGAGGCGGACATATGCTGGAGAGATGAAATCGGTGGCGGGGGGTATTCGTGATCTGCAAACACAATAGGGAAGTCGAATCGTGGAAGCTCAACATGAAGCGTAAACCTCTCGTCCTCTATAGCGTCCTCAAGCTCCTTATCCTCCTTCTCTCCATTCACCTGGGCCTCTTTTGCTCCATCCAGGGTCATCACTTCTTCGTTCTTTCGTGATCGTCTCCTCTGCAGAGCTTTGAGAGATGTGCTCGAAGCTTTAAGGCCTCGTTTTTCCACCCCTCGGAACACTAGCTGGTCCAACCATTCAATCCGGGGTATCTCTCCCATCTCATGCTTCTTGAACAGCTTCTCTAGTCTGTCAAGTTCCTCGGCTTCCTTATCGACAGGTTCCACAGCCTCCTTCCCTTTACCGCGACGCACCTTTGGTAGGATCGATGGAGTCGAAGAGTTGTCCAAGCCATCTGCGGCTTTGCGTCGATGTACGTGGCATTTCTGCCGACCCTTCTGCAATTGGTTCTCCTTATCAAACAACTGAAGGGTAGTTCCCCCAAACGGTATTGCATGCCCTTGCGCTCCTTCGCCTCCAGTCGGTGACAGGTCCCACACTGTAATTGCAAGCTGCGAGCTTAGAGGAAGGGTCGAATAGTGTATAGGCAAGGTGAGCCATTCGTTCCATCTATTCTACGTCAGAAGGTATCTCCAAAGTTACTTCAAAGAGTAAGACCGACTTTCTCTCATTGCGAAAGGGTTTATAGGCTGTCTGAACAGGTACAGTCAGAGGCTTCGAATCTGCCCAGAGCTGGACGGTAACATAGAGGTCTGAGTGAGGGCTAAGAAGTATGAGTCACAGTTTTCCACACGAGTGCCGGTATCCCACCTCAAGTTCGAGCCAATATGTCGCAGATCCGGTCTCTTTATTAGAGTAGAGAATGGTATCGGCGTCTGCTCTCCATCAAGGCTAACACTAAGGGAAACATTAGCTATGCAAGTAGAGCTAGAGCAGGATAACTCACATTCTGATATTGACCGGTTGGGCCACAGCTTCGGAGCTGGCAAAAGAAAAGGGTTCCATGATCCATCTTCCCCAAGTTCTTTAGTCTTCA